GAATCCGCTTTGTATAGAAAATCCATTGGAATCCTGGTTTTGGTTTCCCGAACTCCAGCCTGCTTTGCAGTGGCCTAGAGTCACAGTCCCTAGTGAGCATGGTCAGTATTCGTGGGGCACTCACAGGAATTGAAGCCCATGCACTGCACAAAAAATGCTATTCTTCCAAACTGGTTACTGCCAGTCGACCTCTTGGTTGACATCTAGGAATGGCTGCTGGTGCCATTTAATAATTACAGCAAAATACATCCTTCTGCATGTTACACAGCTGAAAAGATTAAAGTGGCAGAAAGGGACATTCAATTCCCAAAGGTTCACACAGAAGTTAAGAGTGATGCAAACCCCTTATTCTCTCTGCAGGTCTCCTGGACTCTGCTTATTTCTCTGCCCTGTAATTATGGAAAGTTCTTGATGAATTCCACATGGGTTTCCATCTACCAAGTCAATAACAAAGATGTCCCCGAGAAAGCATGCCAAATACAAATGTGCCCCAAGCTCTTTGCTCTGGGGCTGCAGCTGCATCTGACATCTGGCCGCCTGCATGTCTTTTCAAGAGACTCACTCCTCCTGGTGAGGCTGCAAAGAGAACTCTTCCCCTGCTTCTCACTAACCGAGGAGGGCCAGCTCTTCCACTGATGATTGTCCTGCTCATGCTGTTGCTTTGGCTCCTGCTTCCAGCCACTCAGAGGCTGCCAAGGACCAGTTGTGCTTTGAGACAGCTGCTCGAACAGTCAACTGACTACTACAGACCAGGAGACCTGATTGTTGGTGGGAATTTACTACTTGTGAGACATTCATATGGAGTTCAAGTAGCATTCCATAAATCACCAAAAATGATACTCCTTTGGGATACAATGTAGGTTTCACTGAATGTGGCCTGGGATGCATGTTTCTGTGTTTGCTTTCACACCAGGGGATCATTCCAGGAAGGGGTATCAGGGATTTTGCTCCTTCTCCTGGGTTTTTCACTGACAAATTACTGCAGGTGGTATGTTCAATGCAGAGTGTTCAGCAAGAGATATCCTTGGTAAGCCACTCTAAGGAAGGGGTCCTGGCACAATTTTCTTGAAAAAACAATAGCACCATTCTGCGCTCATCCTCATCCATGTCCTGATCATTGTTCTCATCATGACAGAACCCTAATCAGGAACTACCAGCACATCCTGACTCTGGTGTTTGCCATCACAGAGCTCAACAAGGATCCAGCCATCACTCCAAACACAACACTCAGCTTCCGCATTTATGAGCATGGGCATCTGGTCAGAAGAATGCAAGAGAACTACGTCCTCCTGCTGTCTACACGGGAGAGACCGGTTCCCAATTATCAATGTGACAAGAAGGGGCAACTATTCTTTATCATACAGGATGTTTACTCCAAATCTACATTAGACATTGCACCCTTGATGGGCATCTTCAAGATCCCAGAGGTAAATGCATTCATCTGCAGACAGGTTTGAGGTACTTGCAAATAGAACAGTCATCTATGTAAACAGATTCATCTCTGCAGTAGGTCTTTTCTTGGATTCTGGGTGACAAGGCAGGGGGCCTTCTCACCTGGTGAGGCTGCCATCTGAACCCCTTAGTGGAGGCCAGGAATGAATGTCAGGAGAGTCTTAAGTGACAAATCCCAGCTAACATTGTGTCTGTCTTCCTGAGATGACCAATTGAGGCATTTATATCAATAAATAATATAATAAATAATATAATGCGACCATTTATATGGAGAGGGGAAAAAATAGGTGCTAGAAAACTCTTGTCATTCTCCAGGCATCAGGAAATGAGCTGCCTCACTGGAAATGGTTGCAATGAGAATCCTATGCAGAGTCTCGCAATGGGAAGGACTTGGCCGTGAATGGCTTCATGTCCTCAAGAGAGCATGGGTGGTGCCATTTTTAAGAGTGTTAAGATAAAGGTACTGGGGTACTGGCACCCTGGTTTCAAGTCCTGACTGAGCCCTGGAGTTCCCTGGGCACACCAAAGCTCATCCTTTCTCACAGGGTTGTTGTTGTGAAGATACAATTGAGAGGAGTAGGAGAATTGAATAAATTTCATTGAGGCCCTTGGAAGACAACAAAGTGATGTAAATACAAGATTAAATAAAACAAATAAATGGTCTGAGGTTGCTTCTGGCAAAATCAAAATGTGCACACCAGGGGAAAGCAATTCTCTGGTGCACTTGCTCTGACAAAGGTCCTCCACATGGGCTTGCTGTGGTCAATTAATCTGTGTGTAAAAAGGTCCTCAATCTACCTGGGATTTCTTCCACAGGACTTAACCCAAGTTCCTGTTTCTATTCCACAATTTCAGCTACATCCTTTAGAGCAAAGCACAAAAGATTTGAAGAGAGGCACTTTCTGGTTTTGATGTAGCTTCAGTAGTGTCCCCCCCCCCTTAATTTTTGTGCTGTGTTTTATTTAGTCAGAGAATGGAATTTCCACCAGCCCTAAAGCCCCAAAGCTTTGTATTTGCATACAGTGAGTTGCACCCCTGCAATCTGGATAGATCACTTTCTTGTCAGGGCAAGGTCCATCTTAGTCCTGCCATTGGTAGAGAGGTCTGCACTAGGTTGGGCATTTGCTTGTGACTCGGAGAAAAGAGATTCCTGGTACATGGAGGAGGATGGGGGTGGGAGGGAGAACAACAAAGAGTATCTGTTTTTACTTACACATCCCAACTGATAAAGGGATGCCTTTCCTGGGTTAGCATTCCATGCTATTGCAGTCAAGGCTACTCGAGAATGGGAGCTTCCCCCACAAAAGAATATCCCTGTTTTCAAAATGCTACCAAAGAGTGTCATGAAGGTTCATTGGGAATTTCTTTTCTTCAGGTATTACAATGATTGTTCCAGCATATTCAGGGCAAAAACAATGTATTCCTCTTTTTCTTCCAGATAAATACTCATGAAATTCTTCGGTATGAGGGCCTGATCTGGCTGCTGCTGCATTTCCACTGGAACTGGATCAGGTTGCTTGTTCAGAGAGGTGACCATGGAGAGCGTTTCCTCCAGGCACTGACCCCACTGCTGCAGCAGAAGGCCTTCACTGAAATGTTCTCAACAATTGATGCTACGCAACAATATCAATCAAAATACGGATACATTCCTCACGAGTGGTTGGAAACAGAGGTCATTGTTTTCTTTGGTGACAACACTGCAATCCTGCTATTTGCATTCTGGTTGCATAATCTTGAAAAAAATACAAAGATCCCACTTCAGAAAGTTTGGATCCTGACCTCTCATTCAAAAGTTGAAGCAAGTGTAAACTTGGACTTTAGAGTGTATTTAAAGACTCTTCATGGAGCTTTGCAATTAAGAGTCCAGACAAGGGATGTTCCAAGATTCAAGGCTTTTTTCCTGGCTTTAGCTCCATTCCACTCTCAAGGAGATTTCTTTCTTCACAAGTGGTGGGAAGTGACTTTCCTGTGTCAGTTTCCGAGATCAGGAAAATCCCATCGACTCTCATGAAAATGGTGTACAGGGAGAGAGATGCAGAAGGATCCAAGCAGATCAAAGTTCAAATTGACCATGTCCAGTCACAGCTACCACGTCTACAATGCCGTCTGCTCCATGGCAAATGCACTACATGCCTGGTCCTCATCTGGACTGAAATACTCACTTATGATGGAAAGGAAGCAGTTGCTCAATATTCAACCATGGCAGGTAATGTACACATCCAGATGTCATGAACATATCCAGGGAGCTCTGGTGGTTGCTCAGTCAACCATCCTGAAGGGAAAGGTAAGTCTGAGAGGAAGCCTAACTTAGGCAATTCGTAAGAAACTTTTCCCCTGGATTATTTCCGTAGGTGCAATTTCTCTGAGGGGACACTGAAAAGTAAGTAAATCTTAGCAGGTGTTGCTTTTGCTCCAAGAATATCAATGTCTTTAAAAGTGTTATATTAACATTAAAGTGTACATATTAAGCATGGAAGAAGCACTCAAGATCCATCCTTAGATATGTAGTTCCAGTTTAACATACTTATGTAGAACAGGCAGTGGTTCAGTCCCTCTTGGAATGTTCCCTCTTGGCAGCAGGGGGAGAACCCACATGACTCCTGGCTGCTCCAGGCAAATTGTTTCCATCTCCCTTGTTATGGTACAAGGGACATGGCAGGAAGTGGACACCAGGCAAATATGCCCAAACCTTACCAAAGCAGGTATCATCAAAAGGGGCTGCATCTAACAATTAAAGTTCACAGTAGAATAACAAGGGAAAAGGAGATCTCTGAACTGCATGGAAGTGAGAATGCAGTGTAAAACTCTTCCACATATGTTCAACTTCTCTTTTCTTCCTTTTCAGATACTGGATCCTCTGAGGAACGTCCAGTTTAACAACAGTGCTGGGGAGGAAGTCTCATTCACTGACAAAGACACTAGATATGAGATCTTGAACTGGAGCTGTTCTCCAAATGGAACTTTGTACCCTTTGAGGATTGGATGGGTTGATCATGGTGCTCCCCTAGGCCAGAAATTCTTCATCCACTCAGCAGCCATAGTGTGGGCCATGAAGGTGGGTCTGGAATGAATATTTGGGGTCATAGAAGCAGAGAGATAGCACAATTCCATTCATTTAGAAAAGATGCTGTGCTTCTTTTTGAGACCAATTTCCCACTGAGTGTGGGGAAAAGGGGTGTCATTGTCCACTTGTAAAGAACAAACTTTGCTCACCAGAAAGCCCATGTTCTGTTGCTGGACACTCCAGGGAGAATCAAAGAGATTTCCCATGCTTTCCTTCTGGGAGAGCTGCTGCCAGTGATAGGCAACATTGGACATGAAGGACAATGGGTTGATTTGAGTTTACTTGGGAAAGGGTCAGGTGACTTCCCTTAGGGCAGGCTCTGGAGGGGCAGTTTTTGATACAGAAATTAGTGAAAGAGGTTGTGCAATAAAGGGTGTTCCATAGTTAACATGGGTAGAGTCAGCCTGTGGGAGGGATCCTGGCACACTTTTGTTTGAAAAAAAAGTCACATGTTATAGAAACAGAGAAATAGAGTGAGTCCCGGGCCATCTAGTCTGACACCCACCTCCAGCCGGCTCCGCTCATGACATGCCTACCATGTGCATGTCCAGCCTATCCTTGAACACCCTCACCGATGGGGCTTCAGCCATCTCCTGCAGAAGCCCTTCCATACCTTGGAGGTCCTAACTGTAAGTAAGTACTTCCTGGCATTCAAATTGAACCTTGGCTCTCTGAGCTTGGCTCCATTGGCGCACATCCTGCCTTTCTCTGGAGGGGAGAACAGGTCTCTACCCACCTCTGTGTGACACTCCCTCAATTACCTATATGTCACCAAGAGATCCCCTTGGAGTATCCTATTCTCCAGACTGAAAAGACCCAATTCCCTCAATCTCACCTTATATGGCTTTCCCTGTAATACGACCACCATCCTTGTGGCCCTATGCTGTACTGACTCTAACCTGGCTATATCCTTATTGTAATGTGGAGCCCAGAACTGAACCCAATACTTCAGTTGTGGGTGCACCAAAGTTATATAAAGTGGTAGCAATACCTCTCTCAATCATTATTTTCAGCCTGTATTGATATTGCTCTCACCATAACAGGTCAGTAGTCATAAACTACCAGCACATCTTGGCGTTGGTGTTTGCCATCAAAGAGCTCAACAAGAATCCAGCCCTCCTTCCCAATATAACACTTGGCTTCTGCATCTATCAGCACAAGGACCTGGTCAGAATAATGCATCAGAACAACCTCCACCTGCTGTCTACACGGGGGGAATGATTCCCAATTATAAATGTGACAAACAGGATCAACTAATCTCCATCATACAGGATATTGACTCAAATCTGCATCAGAGATTGCAGTCTTACTGGGCATCTTTAAGATCCCAGAGGTAAATGTGTTCATCTGGATATAGGTGTGAGTGACTCACAGAACAGATTTGTCCTTGCAACTGGTGTTTTTTGTTTTTGCTTTTGTTTAATCTGGATGACAGAGCAAGTTAGGAAATGCTATGAGACCACTTTAGATGAGGCCAGGAATGAATCTCAAGAGAGTCTTGGGTGACAAATCCCAGCTAGCATTGGCTCTCTCATGCTTAGATGACCAATTGTGATAAATATCAGGTATTCCCATGATCCCTTGTTAAGAAACAAATAGCGTGCTTCAAACCACTTGTAATTCTTCCTGGCTTTGGTGAATGATCTGACTCACATGGATGGTTTGCAGGCCAGAATCTCACATGCATCTCACAATGGGATATGCTGGACCATCTGTATGACTATGTGCCCTCAGGAAGGTCATGGTGGTATCATGGTTAAGGTGTTGGGAGAATCAGATTGGGACTCAGCCGGTGCAGATGATAGTCCCCACTGAGCACCAGAGTTCTCTTGGTGACTTAGAGCCAGTCACAGACTCTCAGCCCAACCTACCTTCCAGGGATGTTAATGGGAGGATTGGATTGACAGGAGAAGGAGAATTATTTTAGTTGTCTTCAGTTCCATGGAAGAAAAAATTGGATGCATATATAAGAATAAATAAAGTAAATATATGGTCTAAGGATACCTCTGACAAAATCAACATTGGCATGCCAAGGGGAAGCAATGCTAAGGCACATAATGCTCTGGCCAATGTTCCCCACATGTGCTTGCTGTGGACAATTAGTTGGCCTGTGTGCAGAACTTCTCAGTGGACCTGGGACTTCCCCTGCAGGACACATCCCAAGTTCTTGTTTCCATTCCATGGGTTGCAGCCACATGTTTTTATAAGGAAGCAGAAATGGTTTGAAGTGAGGCAATTTCTTCTTTGATGTCACCTCAGTAACATTTCATTTATGTGTTGTGTTTTCTATGGAATGGCACCATTTTCACCAAATACTGTCATTGGGGATCAGCACTAAAGCCCCAAAACTGCAAATGCATACAGTGAGATGCACTCACGGAATGTGAATGGATCTCTTTCCTGCCATGGGTGGTCCTTCTGCCAGGGCTCAGTCCATCTCAGTCCTGACCTTGGTTGACATGTCTGCACTAGGGATGGGCATTTCCTTGTGTTGCTGGGTGAAAAGACCCATTGTGCATAGGATGGAAAGGAGGGAAACTGAGACCTAATGTTTATACGTGCACAACCCAGCTGAAAGATGCCTTTCCTGGGATGGTGCTCCATGCAATTTTGCTCATGGCTGCTAGAGGATCGAAGCTTAGTCCACAAAAGAAGCATCTTTGTAGCCAAATATTTGTATGAAGAATTATCAGCATTTATTTGCTTCAAGTCTCCTAATGCTTGCTGCACTGTATTCAGAGTGAAAAAAGGCTATTTCCATCCTTCTTCCAGTTTAATCCTCATGAAATTCCTCAGTACAATGGCTTAGTCCAGCTACTGATGCAATTCCCCTGAAACTGGATTGGGCTTCTTGTTCAGAGTGATGATCATGGCGAGCATTTCCTCCAGTCAGTGACCCCACTCCTGCAGCTGCAGGACCTCTGTGTGGCCTTCACTGAAATGTTCTCAACACTTGATGCTGAGAAGTGGATACATTCCCCATTCTTGGATGGTAGCAGAGGTCATAGTTTTCTTTGGTGACAATGCTGCAACACTACAATTAACACTGCACCTATCTACTTCATGAAATAATAGCTAAAATCCCATTTCAGAAGGTCTGGATTCTGATCTCCCATTCAGAAATTGAAACAAATGAACTCTCTGAGATAAAAGTGATGTTAAAGACCCTTCATGAAGCTTTACACTTCAGAGCCCACACAAGGGATGTTCCAGGATTCACGGCTTTTTTCCTGGCTTTAAATCCATTCCACCCTCAAGGAGACTTCTTTCTACAATTTTGGTGTGCAAGGCATTTCAGTGTCTGCTTCCGAGACGAGGAATACCCTTTGCACCATCTAGAGAATGGTGCACAGGGAGGGAGATGCAGACAGACCCTAGGGAGATCCTGTTCCAATTGGGCATGTCTGGTCACAGTTATTGCATCTACAATTCCATCTACTCTGTGGCACATGTGCTACACGCCCTCTCCTCTTCTGGAATGAAATATTCACCAATAGGGGAAAGGAAGAGGCTGTTGTAACCCCCCTCTTAATCGAACATGCAGCTAGGGCATGGCTCATCACAGGTAAGAAGCATGATCAGAGTGTCCTGTTCGTGTAAGAACAAGAACCCCAACGAATGTGCACACTACGCAAGGCTGACCACAAAGCAGCCTTTGTTGCTATGTTCCAGCATAACGTCACACCCTGTACCCTCGCTTGCTTGCTTTAGCATAAAAAAATGTGTGTGAGTGTAGCTCAGTGGATTTCCCCTATTGTTCACTGTTATTCAAGCACCTGCATAGCCGTCCGTGTAAAAGAGTATAAAAATCCTGCCTTCGATCTGCTCACTACCACACTCTCACGAGTGCATGGTCCCTGCTGGCAGGTAAATAAATCTCTCAATAATTCCAATCAGTCTCTGGTCTCGTCTGTAAAATCGCCCATACAACAGAGGCTTCTGAACATTCAGCCCTGGCAGGTCATATCTTCATCCAGATGTCATTAGTTTAATGATGGTGCCTTGCTGGTATCTCACACAATCATTTCTGCAAGGGAAGGTTACTCTGCAAGCAAGTCTAACTTAGGGGAACCATGAGAGAGTCCCTGTGGATTTATCTTCATGGATGAAATTTCCCTGAATGTGCATCCAAAAGTGAGCGAATCTTAGCAGAGACTGGTGTGACTTTTGAAAACTTATGCTTTTGGTATTGTGCTCATTGCAAAGGTGATCCAAGCAAGCTGCACCCCAGATATGTAGCTCTCATCTCATATAATTTTACAGCAAGTGAGAGCAGGCCTGCCCAACTCTGAATCTTCCTGCTGGTCTCAGACTGCCATGGGCATATGTCTTCCAACTCCACTGGCAAGATTCAGGGGAGGAAAGACACTCCAGGTGAAGATGCCCAAGCCCATACACAAGCTTGCTTGAGTGAATATCACTGAAATGGGCTGCATCTAACATTTAGACAATAGAATAGGAATGAAGACAAGGTCTCTTGACATGATGAAAGCCAGAGTTGCATGGAAGACATTTTCACTCACTCACTGTCCCCTGTTCAACTACTTCTGCCTTTTCAGATATTGGCACCTCTGGAGAATGTCCAGTTTAACAACAGTGCTGGGGAAGAAATCTCCTTCACTGAAAAAGGCAGGAGATACAAGATTGAGAACTGGAGCTTTTCTTCAAATGGAAGTTTGTTCCCTGTGAAAGTTGGATGGGTTGATCACGGTTCTTCCCCAGGCCAAGACTTCTCCATCCACTCTGCAGCAATTGTGTGGGCCACAAAGGTGAGGCTGCAGTGAACCGTATGGGTCATGGAAGCAAAGGCATGGCACAATTCCACTCTTTGGGAAGATACCCTGTGCTTCTTTTTCAGACCTAAGTCTGCTGAGTGTGGGAAGTGGGACTTCATTGTCCATTTGTAAAGGACAAGGTTTCCTCACCCAAAACCAAATTTCTTTCCAAGTTCTCCTGAGTGAGGTTAAGAATAGCCTGCCTGTATTCCTGGATAAGTACTGACAGTGAAAGGCAAGAGAGGGCATGAGAGAAACAGGGTCAGATCCAGAAGTGGATGGCCTCCACAGATTCTGGTTCTGCCTCAGAAGGGATTTAATAAAAGCCTCCCTTTTCATTCTCCCCAGATTGAGGACCCCATCTGCCAAACAATGTAAAACTTTGTGGTGAAAGTTCTGTTGAGTAGTTCTTCAGTGCATTTCTCTATCCCAAATTTATTGAAGTGTTTCTTTCTTTCACTTTTAGGCAATGCCCCTGGCTAGGTGTGGAGAGCTGCACTCCTGGCCACTGGAGAAGAGTTCCAGAGGGGAAGCCAGTCTGCTGCTACAGATGTGAGCATTGCACTGAAAGGATGTCTCTACCTCAGCAGGTACCTCACACATTAATAGCCATGCATAAATGCCAAATGTAGTGGAATAAGAACAACATGGGGCCCAAGGAAAGCTCAAGTAAAGGAGAATGATGTATGCTTTTGGAAGGTTTAATTCCTCTCTAAATTGTAGACCTCTGTGCTTTTCTCATTTAGAATGTGTTCAGCTTTTACAGAAGTTATGCTTTTTGTAAGTAATATAAGTTATCCCAGTTGATTATGAATTCCATCATATTCAAATTCTTTTCCATCTTATCAAAGACCCAGTTTCTCACTTGCTTGAATTTACAAGTGATCTAAATCTGTCTCAGGAAAAGGCTGATGAATGCTATTGGTGAGTGATTCTGGAATCATGCCTTTTTCTGTTTTCATTTCTGCAGCCTGGCCTCCAGCCTCAGCACAAACAGTTCTGAAAAAGCATTATTAGGTTACTGAAGACCAATTCAGTTGACCATGCAGGTGAAAGATTTTAGAACTTTCCTACATTCACTTCCAGATAAAGAATGGTCTTCCTGAGGAAAGATTGAAAAGGAAAATTGTATTTTTGGGAAGGAGACATTTTTTATATCTACTTAGGGATTATTTCCCAAAGCTAAATTAAAATGTGCAGATGAAGCTAGGGAAAATGATTTCCACTTCTTCCTTTGAGGGTGGAGCTGACTCCAGAGAAAGAACTTGGGTATGCTGTTTGAGAGAGTTCCACAGATATTTCCCATTTCAGATGCAGCTCACTGCGCTCCGTGCCCTCAATTTCAGCACCCAAACAAGAACCGCAACCATTGCATTCCCAAGAAGTTCCACTTCCTTTCCCATGAAAAGACACTCGGCATCCTTTTAGTTTCTCTGCTTCTTTTCCTCTGTCTCAGCACAGCTGCTGTGTTGGCAACATTCATTAAATATCATGATACACCCATCGTCAAAGCCAACAACTGAGACCTCAGCTACGCCCTCCTGATCTCTCTCCTGCTCTGCTTCCTCTGCTCCTTCCTCTTCATCGGTCGACCCACAGAGGTCACCTGTCATCTTTGACAAGCCGCTTTTGGCATCACCTTCACTGTTGCTGTTTCTTGTGTGTTGGCAAAAAACATCATTGTGGTCTTGGTCTTCATGGCCACCAAGCCTGGAAGCATGGCAAGCCAGTTCTTGGGGAGACAACTAACTACATCCATTGTGCTGGTCTGCCCCTTATCCAAGCTGTGATCTGTGTTGTTTGGTTGCTGACCTCTCCCCCTTTCCCAAATCTGGACTTCCGTTCCTTGGCTGAGGAATCATGCATCATGATTCATGAATCATTGCATCATGGAATGCAATGAAGGCTCCATCACCATTTTTTATACTGTCCTGGCTTACATGGATTTCCTGGCTCTCCTCAGCTTCACCATGGCTTTCCTGGCCACGAAACTGCCCAACAGCTTCAATGAAGCCAAGCTGATTACCTTCAGCATGTTGGTCTTCTGCAGCATGTGGGTCTCCTTTGTGCCCACCTACCTGAGCACCAAGGGGAAGTATGCAGTGGCTGTGGAGGTCTTCTCCATCCTGGCTTCTGGGGCTGGTCTACTGGGATGTATCTTTCTCCCCAAATGCTACATCATTGTCTTGAGGCCCAGTCTCAATAGAAGAGACCATCTCATAAGAAAAACGTAATCTAAACTTTTCCTGATCAGGTGAAATGTTATTCATTATTTGGCACCTGAATAAAACAATATGTAGCATTCCTTTTTTTTAACCATTGGAGTGAATGGAGAACCCCACAATGATCACTACTACTTGTGATAAATTGTGGTTACTCTTAGTGCATCCCTGTGAGTGTCCTCTGATGATAACAGGATTAAGTGGACAGGCTATTGTGTACAAAAGTATTTGGAAAAATTTAAAATGTAATTTCCTGGGAATCCAGTAGGTGTTACCAATTCAAAAGTAGTGGTACAATTTAGGGAGTGGGAGGAGAACTGCAGGAGATCATTTGAATCCCACCTTCATCCCCAAATCTTTCAAGATTTCAAACTTGCAAGGATCGAATGTCCAGATCCAAATGGGAACATACAGTGAAGCATACAAAATTTTCTTGACTCCCAATGGACATTTCTTAATTACAACAGTACCAAGGAGGAACCAATTCCATTCTGACAACAAGGAACATAACATACACAGAGTGTTGTATGCAGTTGGTGTCACCTAAGCTTTGCAGGGAGGGGGAAGGAGACTTTGAATGGTCAATATGCAACAACTATGTAGAAGCACAAAATGACAATACAGAAGCATCATGAAAGCACCAGAGACATCAAAAAAACATCATGGTAAATTGAGGGTTTGTGTAAGAGGAGAAAAAAATAAAACAATCAGAACTTACAGAATTTAACCATTTTCAGTGTTTTCATTCACTGTCTGAGGTAGAAAATTCGAGAAAGAAAATGAGGATCTGTTATGAGGTTGGAATATTCAAACTAGTTGCATGCAAGCGATTACCTAGTGGGTGAATCATTCATATATCCTGCCTCTCTGGGTCTCCTCTCCTTTCCCTGGAGAAGGAACCTGTATGGAAAAACCTGGGGTGGTGCTGGATGGAGAGTGGAAAAGCTTTATATATGCTATACTATAAAACATAACTTTTATAAGGCAACTCCAGAACTGGCCAGCACTGCAGGACCAGGAGAATGTAGATTTGGATTTGATGGAAGATGCCATGCTCAGTTTCCATATTTGGCAGGTCAACCAGGAACCCCTCTCAACAAGAAAAAAGCAACTGCAGTGTCAGGTAATCATTATACCTAA